ACTGCTGCCTGGGGGCGGGGAATTTGACTCACGGGGGCGGGGCTACCAGGGGGCGGAGCGATGCTACGGCCCTAGGGCGGGGCCACACTGAGGCTCGGGAGCGGGGAGAATGCGTCTCGGGGGCGGGGCGAAACTAAGGCCTGGGGGCGGGGCGACTGTGCCCCAGGGGCGGGGCCGGACTCCCTCGCAGCCACAGCGCACAGAGAGGTCCTTCAGAGGCACAGCGCAAACAGATTCCGGAAACAGCTGCCGTCATTCATCCGTCCTTGGGGAGCTCCGGCGCTGGGCCTGAGCCCCTGCTCTGCGCCCGACCCTCGCCCGCACCGTGGCGGGAGGGGCTCCCGGCTCCTCCGCAGCCCCCGCCCTGTCAGAAGGCGAAGGGGGCGAGCGCCCTGCAGCTCCGCCCTCCCGTGAGCGCCCTCTGGGCTCGCAGCTGCTGTCGCTGCTGTCCTGACACCAGCACGACGATCCCGCTCAGCGATCGTGGGCCCGGCTCAGAATGAGAAACGGGCTTAAAGAGGAGCAGCCGTCGCCCGAGGCCCCGCAGCCAGCGAGGAGCAGCCCTCGATTGCGATCCGGGCCGCCCGACCCCAAGGCCTGGGCCTGTCTGCAAAACCCACCCGAGCCACCAGCCCCGGCTGCTGCTCCTGATGTGGAAGGCACAGCACAGCAGAGCGGCTGTGGCCAGGGACACACCGCAGGGGTCACTGGCTGGAGGGGTTGCACGGTAGGCTTCCTGGAAGAAGAGACAGAAGGCAAACGTGGGGTTGCCAGGCAGCGAAATCAAGAGAAGGCATTGCATGCAGAGGCAGCGGCATGTGCAAAGGCCCAGAGAGGCGAAAGAGCCGGGCAAGTTCGAGGAAGGGACGGACAGGCTGGACTAGTGGGCAGGGCGCCTGGTACCCAGCCCCGAAGGACAGGCAGGGCATAAGTCTATGGGTACTGGGGAGCTATGGTGGGTTTCCTGTTGAGGGAGAGCAGCCCCACTCAACAGTTAGTCTGTTCCAGGGAATAGGAACACACACTTGGCGGTTGAGAAAACTTCACCTCTGACTTGAGATGTGACCTCCTTTGACCCCAAAGAGCAAAACGGTGGCAGGGCTGCGGCTGGAAGCCAGAGCCCAAGCCTTGCTGTGCTCGCCTCCCTACACCGCTCCTAGGGGACGGGGCGGCCTCCTTGGGAACACTGACACTGACTCCTCAGCTTAAGTCAGTCTGAAAAAGCAGCTTCGAGAGCAGCTGTGGGAGGAAGAGAGTGGGCCCCTGGGGAGGAGGATTCGAACTCGCACCACCCTGTCCACACTCCACCAGCAGCAGCCTGGAGACGACTGTCTATAAACCAGGAAGCGCTAAAGAGACACGCGCAGGGGGCTGGAGGAATAAAAGGCTGCTGGGTACAGCAGCGTCCGGAAGCCCCTTTAACGAGGGGACTCAGCGCGGCAACGCCACCCGCCCTGGGACAGACA